GGGAGTGGGGAGGGGAACACAAAGCTGGAGGAGGCTCACGACAGAGTCACCATACCATGGGATGTCAGGAAGTGAGTTGGGGGGGGTGGTCAGGGGACAGGATGCAGAGATGGGCCTGCCCGGGAGACCCAGGTGGAGACCCACCCTCAAAGAGGTGCTCCAGACGACGGCCTGGAAGAAGTTCAAGAGAGGTTCAGGTTCATGGTGTCAAGAGAGTGTGGACCATGACACCCTGCCCTGCTCCTGTCCCCTTCAGCTCCTCCCACAGCTCCAGGGGACTGATGATGGCTGCCTAGAACTCAGTTCTAAGATTCCTGAGAGCTGAGATCGATTGCTGATGTCTGCTGTGGGCACAGGCTGAAGGTAAGTGGTGCCTGAATCTGTTTCTGCCGTCAGCGACCTAAACAGAGTCTCAACCCTGGCTGTGCTGAAAATCATTAAAAGTACACAGGCTTGGGGCACAGCACAATAGACTGGGATTTGGTTGAAGTTCTCCACTCTTCTGGGGGTTTTTGTTTTTTCCTGAAAATTCCACAGCTGATTCAAATTCACCGCTAGAGGCGGAAACCATTAAACAGGACAATTCTTTCAAACCTATAGCTTCCATTATTCACTCAACAGATATTAAGTGAATGTAGTTTAGAGGTTACCACGGGAGACAGAGGCCTGAAGAAAACATTGTTCAGAAGCAGAATTAGACCCCACATTCTACTCAGCAAGTATTTACTAAGCACCTACCGTATGCCATGCCTGGTCTAAACCCTGGGAATACAGCATTAGCCACATATCCAGACCCTGCCCTCCTGGAGGTTTTACTCCCCAACTCCCCACATCCCAAAGTCTGGAGCTGACATGAAGCCCCTCTTCGCCACCCTCCAGATCCTATGTGCCTTTGAGCACTTTCCTCTTACATTTCCTTTGTAACAAGTCCTCGTTGGGGCGCCTGGGTGGCTCGGTTGAGCATCCAAGTCTTGATTTTGGCTCAGGTCATGATCTCAGGGTCGTGGGATCAAGCTCTGCATCGGGCTCCTCGCTGAGTGTGGAGCCTGCTTGGGATTCTCCCTCTCTCCCTCTCTCTCTGCCCCTCTCCTACTCCTGCTCTTCCTCTCTCAAAAAAAACCAAAACAAAAAAAAGTTGTCCTCTGTGCTTGGCAAAGGGCCTGGCACAGAGTTTATGGATTTTTAACACATATTTACTGAATGCTTACTTTATGTCCGGACTTGTGGTCCAGGTGCTGGGGATCTAACTGTGACCAAGGGAGATCCAGTCACCGCCTTCACGGATCTTGCAGCCCGCGTGCATCCGCGCACACGCAGGCACGTTTCTGCAGGGTGGGGTGGTGGTGACAAGTTTACTCAATGTGGCCACAACAGTTGGACAACTCATGTCTACTGGAAGTGATTTTCAGGTGTATACAGAGTGCCCAAACCCCTGATGCCCTTCTAGGGACCAAAAAAACCCCACATAGGAACCCCTTGAAGACCCCAGTCAGAAACACCTGGTTAAGGTCCAGTCTCCACCATTTTCTAGCATCTCAGGGCCACGATTTCATCCTCTACACACTGGGAGAAGCAACTTCTTGGCGGGGTTGCAAGGATTCATTGAGATAAATGAGCACTTAACTATGCTCACTTAAGCGTTATCGCGCACTTACTGTGTCCCAGCACATAAACGCTGAGTGGATGAACGCGGGTTAACCATAGCGGGGTGGTTGTCAGCATTCAGAGATCATCTGGGCCAGCATGACTAGCAGAAAGGTATTCAATAAAGGAGGTGCCAGGACAAAAGGCCAGATCCTTTTTCCTTGGCTAAGCATGCATTTCACCATTTTAAAGGTAACGTGATTAAAAGAACTCTGGGACAGTCTTGTTTGGACTCTACTTCTTAGCGAAGCTGTGTGATCTTAGACAAAATGACCTCCTGCGTCTGGATTCCAGCCTGTTCGTGGGTTTTAAATCAATCGACAGAGCCAAAGCGCTTAGAACAGTTCCTGGCACGTACGGACTATATTGAGTTGTATGATTCTTATTGTTCTACCTGCCACACAACCCACAGCGAGGGCCACCACCTCCCAGCTTCAGGCCACAATCAGCCAGCAGGCCCCTCTCCGGGACTCCGAAAAGGAGCGGGGAGGAGCGCGCAGGCGCGATGGGGGGGGTGGGGTCTTCAGGGAAGCCCTGGCAGCCCGACGGGTGGCCATCTTGGTAAAGGGCAACGACGCCAGCTGCTCTACGTCATCAGTCTGCGCGACGGGCGAGCACCCGGCCGTCCGGGTCGTTTCGGGAGTGGTGGGTGGGGTGGGGTAGGGCGGGCGGCGGCGGGCGCTGCCGGGGCGA